AAATCTATATACAACACCATACGAAGGAGGATCGGCATCGCGGAGAGGACGATCGGCGTCGAGGACGAGGATCGGCGTCGCGGAGAGGATGATTGGCGTTGAGGACGACTCTCGGCATCCCAGACGCAGATCGGAGGGAGGCAGTGACGGAGATCGGGGAGTGAGACAGTGAGGTCGGGAGGGAGATCAGAGGGAGGGAATGATGAAGATCTGAGGAAATGAGAGAGATGAGGCTTTTAGAGAGAGAGAAAGAGAGAGAGAAAGGAAGAGATAGACTGAGTTGAGTCCAGACCAGAGGCAACATATAATATATATATATATATATATATATGGCCCTAAACATAAACAACTAAACATATAAACATATAATATATATATATATATATATATCCCTAAACATAAACAACTAAACATATAAATATATATTATAATAAGTATACGGGAGGCCAGTCGGGGATCAATCGGGGCGGGGCCGGGGTTGGGAAACTTATCCTCGTCTCCGGACCGAAAATCATCGGGGATCAGATTTTTAATACCATCCCCGGCCCTATGGGGATAATTTTCGAGAAAAAACCGTTCCAATCGGGGTCGGGGGATCGGGTCCCCATCGGGCCGGGTTTAAATTGCCATCCCTAATTGAAATGCCACTAAAGCCTTGTATGTTTGTGGCTCTATGACATTTTTCTAAAAAATGCCATCAAATATTATTTTTGTGACATTTTTTAACATGTCACTAATATGACGTCACTAAAATGTGTTTTTGTTGTAGTGAGACTGAATAGTTACAGGAACAATGGGTATGGTGATGCCTATGTAAATATTGATTTTCAACAAATAGCTTTGCAAGATCTTACTAAACTAAATTAAAAAAAAGAAGAGACAATACAATTCGAAAAAAATTACATTTTTATCAATGACACAAATTTTTATCAAATCCAAGGCCGTGATAACTACGTCTACAGCCCTCGTATACCTAAAAAGATTTTAGATTGCAAAAGTCTAAAAGGAACAATTGCGCATGTTCGTAAAGGAATTCGATTTGGCCTCTTATTCTCCATTTTGTTTGTGCATGTATGTTTTAACAAGCATGAGTTACATTGAATATTGATGTATATATAAATAAATTGTATTTTATTTTATAAATTACACAGTCTATGTTTAAATTCATAGTTGTCGTCCAAATTAATAAATAAATATAATTTCTTAATGTGTCTAGGGGTATCTAATAGAGCTAATTTTTTACATAACTTATTTTTACTACTAAGTTTACAAGATAAATGATTTGAATTATCATTGTGAGACATGGACCCGTGAAACAGAGTATGGAGAGATATAAATGATATGTTGGGTATTGTGAACCTTAATGACTACCGTACACTGGGCTTTGGATCAAAGGGAGGGTTTGGAGGGCCTCCTTCAAGGGAAGGGTTAGGGTATAATTTCTTGTTGCTTCCACGTTGGGTCTTTTGATAATTTCATGTTGCTTTTGCATTGTCATCGTTTTTATGTTTATAAATAGATAATGGAAGCGTCTTTTTTTTTTAAATTTTTTATTATTATTATTTATAGAGTTGTAATCGTTTTCTGATAATAGTGAAAACCGTAACAACCATAAACGTAATTCTATTTTGAGGTGAACCACGCAAATTCTTGTGCTCTTTGTGTGCGTGCTTTCTTAGATTTGTTTTATCTTTCTTAATTGTTTTTTTTTTTTTTTTTGTCTCACAAATTTTAGTTAAGAAGAATTTATTTCCTAACATGATAGTGAATTGAAGGAGAGTTGTATCCCATGCACTAGAAGTGGATGTTTGCATCAACATTATTAAATTCCGCCATATGAAGGAAATGAAAAATGACACAAATTCAAGTTTGAAATGAAATGTCAATCCAAAATGATGTATCAATAATATTTTATCAATAATATTAATGCATGCCCAAAAAATATTCAAATAAGTATTAAAAATTTAAAATGTGTAAATCATATTCATCTTAGGTGACCCACTCCACATCAAATTTAAGCATGCATTCAAATTATTGAATTTTGCTAGATATTTTTTCAAGTACAAGAAAATAATGAGTTGCATAATTTTTCATAGATATTTTTTACAAAAAAAATTTTTGGGTATGACTTTACTAAAAAAATAAAGGGACAAATACAAAAAAATTCCAGAGTTTGAGCCTTATAACAAAACAAACATTTTTAATTTTGTTAATTTAAATCTTATCTTTTGATTTGTTTTCAATCTAGACAATTTGTCCATTTTCGTTAAGTAAAACAGACAGAAAAAGAGTATTTTAGTCGTTAAAATCAAAATATAGGTATATACAAAATATCTAAAGTATTATTTTTTATTGAATTTAATGACTAAAATATTCTATCGATTTTATTTAATGAAAATAAATAAATGGTTTAGATTGAAAACAATCAAAAGTTTAGGATTGAAATTGACAATTTTAAATTCAAAATTTATTTTGTTATAAGATTTAAACTTTATTTTTTTAATTAATTAATTTATTTTTTTTGTAATGTCCCAAAATAAAATATCAAATCTAAAACTTTAAATCTTCTCTTGTAAATAGCCAAAGCAAAACAATTTGATTTCGTCCTAGTTATAATTTGAAATAGAACTCCACCAAAAAAAATAAAAAAAATAAAAAAATAAAATTTAATGAACTATAATATAATGAGGCCAAGAAACCTCCTTAATAGTTATTAAGAAGATGATTAATTTAGATAGGACAAAAAAACTCAAGGGTAATAATTAAGAACACCCAATTTTACTTTTGCTACACATGTCATTGCCGGGCCACCAGTCCCTTGCAACATCCAAGCTATGATCATCTAGAGTCACTGTATTATATCATATCATGGTCCCCAAATTCATTATAGTAATGAGCAAGAAATGGTTGAAACTACTACACCCATGGGGTTGGGCCTGTTAGGGCCCCTTACCCTTTTTAAGAGAGAGAGAGAGAGACTGTTTCATCACGTCACATCTAAAAATGCCTTTAATAGTTTATTGGTTCTTTTTGGGGTCTTTTGGACTCTCTTAAGGCTTTACTTGGTCTAATTTGATTGGCCTGCGCCGTTAGTTCCTCTGACAATGTTGTAATAGTTTTTTATTTTATTTTTTATTTTTTATTTTTTATAACAAGGTCACATACAAAAAAAAAAAAAAATATATTTTTTTATTTTATTTTATTTTTTTATCAACAGAAGAAGAAAATTTTATTGATACAAAACAATAAGCTTAGATAAGATACAATAATAAAGGGGAGAGTGAAAAAATATTACAGTGGGAATCCCAACTAGGTTGACATCAAAAGACTTACCATACCAACTAGGTTGACATCAAAAGACTTACCATATCATTTGCTAGCACAAAACTCTAAACTCCAAGCTCACCACATCTATAAAATATTTATAGATCACCATTAAGGACAAATTACACTTACAATCTCCAGAGTTTGCTGTCTTGTATCAATTTTAGGTACTGTTTAGCACGTGTTAAAATAGTACATCATCTTATTTGAATCACAGTCATCTCATTTTGGTCATATCATCTCTTTTTCATATTACTTCAAATCTAACTTATATTTTACATTTTTTTTCATAAAAAGTTAAAAAAATACTAATTTAGCACATGTCAAACGCCTTCTTTAGTCTTAAATTTTTTTCACTCATATTAATTTATAAATTAGATAGAAATTAAGGAAGTAAAATAGTTCATTCAGAATATTTAATTCAAACAATGTGAATAATTTATAGAAAAATTAATACAATTAAAATTATAAAGACTAAATTGACACATGAAATATATTATAAAACCTATGAATATGATTTACCCCACAATCAATTTGGATGTGACTCACATTTTATAAATTTAAAATTTTTACCATACATCTTATTTTCAAATTACTTTCAAAATAATTTCATCATAGGTATCATTTTTCTTCATTTTTTTTTTTTAAAGTATCTATCATTTCGTTTCAACTAATTCTAAACAGATGAAATCCTTTGTCATATACGTCAAACAATTATCAAACTCTCTGCTCATCTATCGATGGACAATTAAGAGAGTGAGGATTAAAATTTATAATAATTAAATGTTTGAACTTATGACTTCTTATATCTCAAACGGTGGTACTACATATACTAATTAATGTACACACTATTATATCAATTAGTGTTATATCATTATTATTGATTTCACCTATTATACACATTTCAAATACCCAAAACCTCTAGAATTATATCACATGTAATTAGTACATTAATCAGTACATATAGTATTATTCTATCTCAAATTTTGTTATCCTCTTATCATAAAAAGCTTACAAATACCTAATTATACTTTGAAATTTTTAATTAATTCAATAACTGTTACTATTTTGAGATAAAAAGATGAATTAATTCAATAACTGTTACTATTTTGAGATAAAAAGATGAATGATTAAAATAAAATAAAAAACTTAATATTTGATTTTAAAAAAAAATGCACCGAGCAGACGAATATTTTTTTTTTGATTAGCAAAGAAAAATTTCATTTAACAGCATGAAATTAAAAATACAGAAAGATAAGATGCAACGAGAGAAATTCGAAAGTATAAAAATACCCCTACTATTACTACTTGCATCCATACAACCAACCCTAAGCATCCATCCATACAACCAAGCAGAAGAACATAATGGTTACCTTGTGTCATGTAGGCTTACACTGACCTCCCAATAAACAAACATTCTCTGCAACTGTCTCTATCAGTGGCGGGTGGTGGGGAGGTGGCTCCACGCAGCTTCTTTCTCTCTCTTCTCTCTCTCTCTCTGCTGATTTTATCGTCACCTTTTCTCCCGCCCAAAAAACTTCCCCAGCAATTTAGCTCATTCCAACTATGAGAGACAGTGAAAGCAAAATGATCAAGATATCTAATCTATCTACTTAATTAACACTAATCTTTCATCATTAGGGTTCCTCTCTCTCCTCTCTCACTTTTCATTCTCTCTCTCCATTTGGTGTTTATATAACTCAATACTTGCCCTCATTCTTCCATTCCTCAGCCTTTCCAATTTTTTTTTTTGTCATCTCTCTCAAGTCTCCTCGGGATCTGATCCGACAGCTCGACAACCTTGACTATAGTTGGGGGGTTCAAGTCCCGAGGACAAGTATTGTTTTTACAGTGTTTTGTTTGTCTTGTTTTGTGTTTCTCGCAGATCCAGCAGGTTCCTCTATCGTTGGAACAAACCCTAGAATTCATTTCATACCCCAACTTGAACTCTCTCTCAATCTTTATTTGGAAGAAAATAAGGTTTGCTCCTTGAAAGAAGATTCTGAGTCTACCCAGATCTGGGTGTTGCAAATTTAAGGATCTTTGTTGTCTGATCTGTGAGCTCTCTCTCTCTCTCTCTCTCTCTCTCTTCATGTTGGCGATCTTTGAGAGGTGTGTTGGGAGTAGAAGCTTGATTTTGTAGATCTATGATCTGAACAAGTGTTCTCTTATACAAAGGTGTTTGTCTTTAGTTATGGTTAAAATCACAAGCTTTTGCATCCATGTCTAGGAGTCTTCCTTTCATTTTTGATTTTTTTCTTTTATCATTAATATTGCTTTTGTGCTTTGACAAATGAATTCTACTAAAATCTTATCCTAAAAAAAAAAGCTAATATGATGATATTACTGTGTGAATCACAATAATCATTTCTTGTCATGCTAGTGAAAGCTTTGATGAATTCCAATATTATTATCACTTGATTACTTCTCAAAGAGTATCTTAAAATCTTGATTGGCTAAATCTTCTTCATAAATTGCATGTAGGCATACAATTGTATTTTGTGGATTTAAGAACATGAAGTGATTATGATCTAACTGGTAGTCTTTTTTGTTTAGCTAATTTATTATCTTAAATATGAAAAATGATTATCATAAATGATGTGAGAGACATGATTTTGTTTTCTTGTCCCCATAGAGATGTATGTAACTTGCACATAAAGCATCATTTTGTGGATCCTAGAGAGATATCAATACATGTTTTAATCTTAATGGGTATACCAGTAGTCAATCTACATGCCTACATTGCTAATACACACTAAAGAAAAATAAAACATTAAATTTTCACTTTTGTGCTAGTTCAATTCATCTTTTCTAGACTCATGGTCATGAATGTAAAACTATGTCACATTTTGATTAAGCTATATATATATATATATATATTTGTGTCCATTTCTTGAAGCTTTGTGTGTCTTCCTCTTCATGAAATCTTTGTTGCTTCAGATCTGTACTTAACTAAAACTTTGATGACAGATTACAGTTTATTCCACATGCACCTCAAGTAAGTAAATGTCTAATTCAGATAACTTTTTGGCAATGCCTTTGTGTTAGTGATAACATGGTTGTTGCAAGTAAAACCAACTGATTAACTAATTAATGTTTTTTCATATTCTTAATTTATGTATTATTCTGGTTAAATACGGTATGTTAAATTGATATATATTATATACATGATATACCTTAGCATGTATACCTTTGTTGGAAGAAGTTATTCCAATTGAATCTAAAATTCAAGAAAAGTTTCTAAACTGGGCATGACTAAAGTACTAGTAAACATGCACACTTTCTTTTTCTTTTTTTTTTATAGAATGGGGCTGGAGGGCAATGTGTGTTATGAAGTTCATACTATGATAACAATACTTTCTCTTAAATCCGACTCTTCTAGTCAATTTATTCATCACAATCATATCTAACTTTTGGCTTCTTTATACTTTCCCCTCATTTAAGAATTAATCAAACACCATTAAGATCAAAAAGAACATATAGATCATGGAGACATTGTTTGGATGGTTTCCACGTCTTTCTTTTTTCATTTTTTTGCGGGTTCCTTTTTCCTGTTCTTTTCTAACTAGTCATGGATGGTCATTGAAACCTATCATTTTGATGTATTAGTTTTTTTTCCTTCCCCTAACCTACTAAGAAGAATTCAACGCAAGACCCATAGGCTATGTTTAGTTGGGCGATTTTGGAAGAAATTTGGAAAGAAAAAGAGATAAAATATGAATAAAATATTTTTATATTTTACCTAATTTTACATACTTTTTTCTTTGTTTTTCCCTTACATTTTTCAAATCCCTCCCTCTAATCAAATACAGCTTTAAGAAACTTTCACCTTATGCTAAAGACAGATCTCTGAAGAATGATCTGTGTCGCCCAAAGGAAAATTTCATTTGAATTATGTATGTGAATGTCAAGTTTAGCAAATAAGGAAAGAAAATTCTTAAGTTCAAAAATTAATAGATGTTTCCTTGTGATAGACAAGATCATGTATACATTGCAATTACTTTCGGAATTAAAAGAAAATTATTAACTTGATAAGTCTTTAGTTTGGATCTTTTTATCTATTTTTATAACTTACTTATACCGTTTTATTTTTATTTTATTTTATTATTATTTAGAGTGGGCTACGGAATGAGAAATATTTCTCCTGTTGCATGAATCCAATTTTCGTTTTTTCTGGGAAGAGTTATATTTTTCTTAACAGTCTTTGTGGATCCCAGGATCCTGAATCGATCTCGCATGAAGTCAACTTTATGTTCAAACGAAAAGAAAAATAAATTTGCACAACTAAAATCCATTAATATCAACCTGGATAGAACCATGGTTCTAAATACCGGCCGATGTGCTACGTATCGGAAAAATGGGGTGCTGCGATAGATATAGGCCGATATTGAAAATCGCAAGAGTATCGGCCGAGTCCTGGTATGTATCAACCTGTAACCGTTACACAAGCCGCGACGGGCCGATACTCACCGGTTCGGACTGGTACGGGAAAGAAAAAGCTGAAAAACCTGTAAAATGATTTTTAAAATTTCACTGCCGTGACACCTGATTCCTGATACGTACCGATCGATACTACTGATATCGATACTCCGCGATCGACACTGTTACATTACCCGATACCACGATTTAGAACCTTGGATAGAACATAGAACAAAGGAAATTGTTGAGGTCACATAAAATAACCTGCTTTTACACAAGAAAAGAAGGAAAATAATTTGCAAAAAGTCTTCAGCTTCCTTTAATATATGCCTCCCATTTTTATAGATGAGATGGTTGGAAAAGAAGATTTAATTGCAACGTCGTTGCCTGTACTTGTTGCTTAAACTGTTCTACTTTTGAACAAGCATCTCACGTGGCGCTAATAGTTTTCATTTCCCATTTCATGAAAAACGTTTTTCACTCTGCTTAGCCTTATCCTTCTCTAGGGGTCTTTTACGATCAGTTCTATAGGAATTGGACAATCCTATTAAGTACAAATTACCAAAATATTTGTTAGAATCCCATCCAATAAGGATTCTTAGTCAAAGAAGATTCTTAGGAGATATAGAAAGATACAATACGCCATATTTTCTATATTTGAATTAATGTGAAATCTTCGATTTTTTCTTCCTATATCACTATCCCACACGTACAGTGTTTTAATCAATAGAGAACATTTTCTTCTATATGAATTGATATTATTACATCAATTAATCATCATACATTTTGTAGTCATTACCAATAAATCTAGAATACCTACATTAATTTGGTCTAAGTGGTTCATTTTACCTAATCAAAGAGAGGAAGCTATAATTACTTGAGTGGCTTATCTTCAATTAGTGTTACCATGATACATGATTCAAGTTTTGATTAAGATTCACACGTCTGAAGTTGTAATGAATTTCAGGTCTTGGTTTCTAGGCGGACGAGAATGAATACTTTTTCACATGTTCCTCCTGGTTTTCGTTTCCATCCCACTGATGAAGAACTTGTTGACTACTACCTTAGGAGAAAAATAGCATGCAGAAGGATTGACCTAGATGTTATCAAAGACGTTGATCTCTATAAAATTGAGCCATGGGATCTCCAAGGTATCATTAAACACAAAATTAGTTTCATTAATTAATCACTTTTTTTTGTTTCTGTTCTTTTCTTTTCTTTTCTTTTCCTCGGTTATAAGGTTTGCTAAAGGGTTAGTTTTTGGTGATTTTTCAAATTTGAATAGAATTATGCAGAATAGGAACTGAAGAGCAAAACGAGTGGTACTTTTTTAGCCATAAAGATAAGAAATATCCAACTGGAACTCGCACAAATAGAGCAACAGCAGCAGGATTTTGGAAAGCAACTGGAAGAGACAAGGCTATTTATTCGAAGCATGACTTGATAGGCATGAGGAAGACCTTAGTCTTTTATAAAGGTCGAGCTCCAAATGGACAAAAGTCAGATTGGATTATGCATGAGTATAGACTTGAAACAGATGAAAATGGGACTCCTCAGGCAAGTAATTCTTATTGGATATTAATTCACTTTTTAATGTCAAAAGATTGTGTTAAAAGTTTTACACAACTCAATTTCATTCAATACTGATCGAAAACTTCTTGCTATAACTGGGCATAGACTTGAGCTATAATATCATACTTTTGCACTATTCTCGTTTGCCAATAGAAGAAACATTTTGCTTATTCTTTTAGCTTATATTTTTCCAAATCACTAGTAACCACCACCACTCCACTTCTAAGAGTATACATGCCAAACAAGTGTCAAATGATGTAAATTATAGCTGGGTCTATAGTTTGTTCCTTAATATTTATACACATCACCAAAGATCTTTAAATTATATAAGCATACAATTATGGATGAATTTCTACAACTTGATGAACGTCAAAGTAAACATTTGATATCCTGATCTCTACCTATTGATCCTTGTGCAGCCTTGTGATCATAATACCGATAAGATCCAAAATGGGAGGAGAATTCAATTTCTCTTATAGTTGTTTCTTATTCTCAAAGGACTAGGGAAAAGAAAGGGGGAAAAAAATATTTTTATTTTTGAAAAAATCCTTAAAAATTACGAAATAAAAGTAAGGTTGTCACCTTTAACTCACTAAACTTCCATGGATTTCAGAGGCCTAATCAGTCCTTTTGTTACTATACTTACTGCCATTTTTATAATTACGCTTGGTTTGATATTTCTTCCATTTTATAATTCTCTGTTTTTTATTTTTCTTTTGCATAATTGACACTGTTTCATACAATGATTATCAAGGTTTTAATGCTTTCAAAACAGGAAGAAGGTTGGGTTGTATGTCGAGTGTTCAAGAAACGGCTAACAACCACCCGGAAACTAAGTGAGCACGATTCACCAATTTGGTATGATGATCAAGTTTCATTCATGCCCGACTTGGATTCCCCAAAGCACAATTCTCAGCCTAACCTGACCTACCACCACCACCACCCTTATCCCTGCAAGAAAGAGCTAGATCATTTGCAGTACCAAATCCCTCATGGTAACTTCCTCCATCTCCCACTCTTAGACAGCCCAAAACTGCTTCAACCAACACCAACAATGGCCACATATGGACTTGACATGAACCATGGAAACACTCTACAATCCTCATCACTCACGCAAGAGGAACATAACTTCAATTCAGTCTATGGAGGCAACAGTAACAACGAGCAAGCGGTGGACCAAGTGACAGATTGGCGTGTTCTCGACAAGTTTGTTGCTTCTCAGCTCAGCCATGAAGATCTGCCAAAAGAAAAAGACTACCCAAATGCTGCAAACATGTTTCACCCATCTGAGCAATCAAATTTACTTATCCAACAGTTGAACAAGCAAGAGATTGGCCCAGAAAATGCCTCAACATCGACCTCCAGTTGTCAGATGGATCTGTGGAAGTGAAGGGAAATAAAAATAAATATCGGTACATACTGATCAAATATAGGAGGTTCTTGTTGTACATAATAAGACTAAATCAAGATAACATTTTAGCCGTTGAGCCTCTGGTTATCATCAAGTTAATGTTTTACCAAATTACTAGTCAGTCTACAACCGTATATATATATGGTAAGGTAAGCTATATTGTTTGTCATTTGGACTATGGAGCTGAATGTGACTGGGATGGACTTTGAAACCCCCAGTACTCTGATTTAATGGCTGTTATTTGTAGCCAATGATCTGATCTGACAGCCACAAGTGCTGTTTATGGAGTCAGCCTGTGGACTATCACATACTATGTGTTTGTATGTTCATCTTGAAATAGTATTAAACAATGTTTTGTATTTGTTATTGAATCCATAAAATTGTTCTCTTACAAGTGGCTTGTTAATTTTTTGCCGACTTCATGCTCCATAATTTTTCAAAATAAAGAGAGATCACTTTGGGCATGTAGTTTATGTCTCATGTCAATTATGTTTTTACCAATGCATTTTTTGACATTGTGTTAATTCAATCCAATTGACATCAGCCCCTTAAAATTAGACTGAAATCTATGAGCAAAATAATTCATACTCTCCCAAAATGATTGAGGGGTTGGTGTTCAATTTAAAATTATCCATTCCCTTTTTAATTGACTATTTTACTTTTGATTTATGTCCAATTTCTTATGGGATGTTATTAATTAAACTAAATTGACATAAAGTAAATAAAAAATGGCAAAATTGATATAGTGAAACTGAGTAAATTGATGCAGGAAAATGCACAACATGTACAATTCGTCTTTTTTTTTTTTTTGGGTTACCAACGGAAAAATTGTGATCTCTACAGGTATGGAGAAATTTTTGCAGTCCAAATCATTTGACATTGTGCTATCAATGATTCTAACATCAATGGTTTGTTGGCAAGTTGAGATTTGTTCAAGTTGTAGAAGGCAAGGCAAGCTTCACAGTCATATTGTTTTAGGCTTATCCTAAGGTCAATTTTAGATTATCGATCACAAGAAAATGACTATTTTGTTTCCTAGCCAAGCGTTGCATAACTTAATTTCTACATAATCAAGTCAATATGACAATTTTATCCACTGTTGTAGAGAGGAAGGTGAAGAAATTCATGACAATGAAGTGAAATGACTGAGTTAGCCATGATTAAAATAGCCCATTTTGGCCAAGTCAATTTTAATTGTGTATTTACAGAATGGCCCTGTAAATATGCCTCCACAAATGATGTCTTTTTTGATTCGCAAAGCATAAAAATTACATTACTTTGAAGCAATGGTATCGTAGACATGTAGTCATAATTTTCTTTAAAATGGAAGTGTCCAGGAAAAATAATTATGACATCATCACTAGTTCATGTCAAGATAGAGAAATTATTAAGTAATTTTAGAGTGTCATGCAACCTTATTCTATTATTATTATTACTCAAAAATTATCATACCTTTGGTGGATCTGCTATCCTCGACATGATTGTTAGTGATGAGTTTTGTGATATGTAAGGGACTAACGTAAGTGATGAATTTTTTTTTTTTTTCAGTTAAATTCTTCTTAACTTGGTTGTTTAAAAAATCGAGAGGCTTAAGGGTTGGTCGTATGGGTGTGAGTAGTAGTAGTAGGAGTATTTTTATATTTCCGAATCTTTTTCGATGCATGTCATCTTCCTGTATCTTTAATTTCATATTGATAAATGAAAATTTTCTTTTCTAATCAAAAAAAAAAAAAGGGACTAACGTAATGTTCCAAATCACCAAATAATAGCTCAATGAAATGAGCATAGAAGTATGCTATTTGAGAAACAGTAATTCTAGGGACGTTATCAAATATAATATACTAATAAAGAAATAAAACTTGCTTGTGAGTCTCATGATATAAAATTTACTTAACATTATGTTTATTGAGAATTTATTTCATATCAATAGGGCATAGCCAAGTAGTACCTCCTAAATATTGTAATTATGAATATGGTGAATAGGGATTGAAGAGGCAACAAAAGTCATAACATTTAGTAATTAGTATATGTGGCATGCACTACTTTTCGGTATCTAATTAGTAGGTTTATTAGTACACATGTTACGGACTATCGATATGGTAGTAAAAATTCTAAAACATTTAGAATTCCAAAATACTTTTTACATATTTACACATTCTTATATTCTTTTTTTTATATGTATATCGAGTCTAATAATGACTACTCATTAGGCTATTATTAGCATTTCCCAACATAATATTTAGGAATTACAGTTATAAGGAAAACAGTTATTAAAACAAGATATAAATTAATTAAACTTTAAATTATAAAATATTATGAGTTTGTATAATCATAATCCATAACAAAAAATCATACTTAAAGGGCATGTTTGATTAGATGGATTAGAATGTGGGATTGTGATTGTGATTGTTAATCCGTGGGCCCAATTATCCTATGTTTTTTTTAACATTTTGGTTTACGATTATTAATCCAATGGATAATTAATCCAACAAATTTGTAGGATTATTAGTAATGGGGTAGGGGTGAGATTATTAATCCAATGGATATTAATCCAATTGGATAGTAAATACCACACTAATTTAATAGGACTATTAATAATTCACTATTAATCTTGTGAATCAAACATGATCAAAATGTTTTTGGGTACCTACGAGGACTCGGAGACTTCCCAATTCCCAGCATTGGCTGCACTGATAACCCCATTGTTTGAAAGCATTGAAAACACCCACTTCACTCCACTCTACGAGATCACTCAACCACTCAGCAGCCATTGACCAAAGGAAGAAGACAAACAGAGTTAGATAGACTTAATAAAATAAAAAAAAATTAAAAAAAAGAAGAAGAAGAAGACAATCCATTTAGTGGTGACTTGTTTATATAAATTAAATAGAACTATAGTATACAACAAGTGTATACTTAAACCTTGTTCCTATTAGTTTTCATCAATAAAATTTTTATAAAAAAAAATGACTTGGTACTTACCAAAAATTGGAGCTTGCTAATTCCCAGATCAAAAAAAGTAGCTGGAAGAAGTGCTGATGAATTGGCAGAGTGACAGTGAGACAGATGTGCAAAGTGTAGAGCATATTTTCTGGGATTGTGAAGTAGAAGAATGGGGGCCTAGTTTTGGGAATCAAATTCTCTAATGAGTAAATATAAATATTGGGAAGTTATATGTAAATTGTTGAAGTGGGAATGACTCATTTAGTTTTTTGGTGGTGGTGAAGTCAAAGCTTTGGAAGTCCGTTCCAAGCAATGAATTTTTACAAAGGATCGACATACTCATTGAGCGTGTCCTTCTCGAATCATCTTCTCAAACTTTGGAGAAAGAGAGAGAAAAAGGGACAGTTGATTAACAGGAGAATGGAATCCTAGGACACAAGTCTTTTTGAAGTCAATGCTTATAAAGGTTTGACTTGGAGATTTTCTTCCATCGAAGAGGAAGAGATCCTGTTCACAACATTTGTGTTCCTTGTCTTCAATGGACTTTCAACTGTGATTTTAAATAATAGTATCGAAATATATATTAGTATTAATGTGAGAACAATTATGACCACCAAGTGTGGTCCGTTGGGTTGCCAGGTTGTGTCTTGGACCCCGATGGGCTTGTGTGATGGCCCACTATAGAGGTCAAGTTGAGTAACTAAGGTTTATTTTGAGAAGTGAGTTAAAAATCACTTTTTAACTTTTAATTTACTTATTTTTTTCACAAAAAAATTAAAAAAAATTAAAAAGTAACTTTTAACCATCTTCTCAAAATATTTTTAAGCAAAACTAGTTACGAGCTCGGTGGGTTTGAGCTTAATCTAAAACCGGCTAAAGAAAATGAGTTGTGCAGCATCAATAATCGGAGTGCGGATTAGTGCGGCCAAAACTGACTTTCGAATGATCAAGACCAACTCAGTAGTGTTGAATTAAATTTCTAAACCTTCTATTCTACTTATAATACGCTCGTACATATATATTATCATTGTGCCTCTTGAATTCATTTTCCCATATTGATTTTGTCGTTGTTGTTTTGTAGTTTCAAGTTATCGTCAGAGGCTTGAAGATAGGGTTTTGGTCACATATTTTTCAGTTGCAAAGAAATTTGTGTCCTTATAATTAGTAATAATATATATGGGCAAATATTGGGTTGGCCAATATATTGATAAATATTAATATTCAAAATTAAAAATTTCGATGTGTATCAACAATACAATAAGTACCAAATGACATTTAAAATTATATTCCCAACTTCAATATATAATAAGAATTTCAAAATATGAAAATTTTAAATTAAACGATCTCCAATGGTTACTCAGATTGATCATCAAATTTGAATTTGGTGAAAAAAGACTCATTTTTCTGTTCCAACGGTTTTATCAAATAGGTATAAAATTCAGGATTTCACTTTTCTTTTATCAAACCGAGGACGAACTTTTCTTTTATTAAATCACTGTTCATTACCATTGTCGGATGTCCTCTCGAATGACCACCTCAAGGTAAGAATTTATAAAAATATTACATTGTTTGGTTGACCGGCCTGTCGATCGACCTCCCGGATGACCATCTCAAGACAAAAAACATAAAAAAAATATACATTGGCTAGTCGACCGGCCGAAAATCCGCCTAGCCAACCGAGGGTCCGATGAAGATTTAAAACACTTCATCGGAGCACTTGATATGAAAGAAAGCTTTTACTCAAATTTAATGAATTTTTTTGATGCACCGTTAGAGATACTCTTACAATCCTACAATTGATGATACAAGGGACAATAATTCTCCTGCCCATTTGATTTGAGACATATATGAGAGTGAGAGAGAGTCCACTTTTGGAAAATTGAATAGTACACATAGGAAGGGCATGAAAAAGGCACTATGGAGGAGTGAATGAATTAGGGTATTATTTATTAAAATGTAATGTGTGTAGTAGTGTAGATGAAGGTAACATGATTCACTACCTGGAAACAACTCCATGTGACTTCTAATTATGTTCTTTCTTTTTCCAGCCCCACAATTCCAAAGGCCTCTCTACTATGCCTCTTTTCATTCTTCAAGTTTTCTTTTACTGCTCTTTGGTCCAAATCCAAAACCTTTGTCAGCCCCTGTTAGTCCTTACATAGGCAGATACTCATTTGCACTTCCAAACATACCTAACAAAGTTGGGGGAAAAAACTGTTAGTCCTTACATAGGCAGATACTCATTTGCACTTCCAAACATACCTAACAAAGTTGGGGGAAAAAATTATGTACACAGAATGTATAGAAAGCTCTCTTATTTTGTCAGTTTCATTTGTCACAAAAATAAAAAAAAAAATAAATAAATAAATAAAATTGAGAGATCTGGTATAAAAAACAAAAAAAAAAACACAAAACTGATTAGGTGTATATTTTTCATAATATGA